ATCATCCTATTAGCATAACAGACTTAACGTCCTATCACAGAATAGAGGGCACGATGCCTCATTAACATACCGGGTTTCAGATTACAGAGCCAGGATTCCTGGACCCTGACAGTTGCAATATCACCCTAGACTCCAGCCTATCTCCCACACCTGCCTCTGCCTCCCAAGTGCTGGGATTAAAGGCTTGCGCCACCACGGCCAGCTTTAGTCTGGTACTTTTAATTACCATGTGCTATGTAGATAAAGCTTGGGAAAAGACCAAAGGTTCTCAGACAAAGGTTCTCAGACAAACCTTGCCTAAACATATATTATATTCCTTGAGCTAGTTGTATGTATAATTTGTCAGTAGGCTGTTTGATTAATATGGTTTTTTAAAACTAGCTAGACATTATTTATCTCTCATTTTTTTTTTTTTTTTGGTCTTTTTTTGAGACAGGGTCTCCCTATAGCCCCAGTGGTCCTGGAACTCACTGTGTAGACAAGGCTAGCCTTGAACTCACAGAGATCCACCTGCCTCTGCCTCCCAAGTGCTGGGATTAAAGGCGTGCACCACCATGCCCAGCCCTCCCTCTGGTTTTTTAAAACTAGCTAGGCATTATTTATCTCTGGCTTTGTCTAACCCTTACACCATAGTTTCCCCATTTAAAGCGCCCCCTTTTTTCCCATTTCTCCCTTAATAATACCCTTCTCCTATGGTCCTACCTCTCTTGAGCTCCTTCTTCCCCTTTATCCTCAAGGTTCCTTGTATAATTCTCCCTCCCCTCTTTCCTTAAAATAACCCATTTTTATCCATATCTCCCTTATTAATGTCTGTTTCTTACTGTTATTCTATTTCAGATTCTTTCTTTTCCTTTATCTCCCTGGTTCCTTTTCATTATCCTGGTTCCTGTAGTTATGTCTGGATACATACTTACAAGGATTTAATCTTCTTTTTTTTTTTTTTTAATTGACACAGAGTCTCCCTGTACCCCAGCTGAACTGGAACTCGCTATGTAGACCAGGGTGGCCTCCAACTCAGAGAGATCCACCTGCCTCTGCCTCCCAAGTGCTGGGACTAAAGGTGTGCGCCACCATGCCCGGCGATTTCATCTTCTTTACTGCTGAGTAAAACTCCGTCATATAAATGAACCACATTTTCATTATCTACTGTCAGTTGAAGGACACTTAGGTTGCTTCCATCTCTTAGCTATTGTGAGAAGAGCAGCAACAAACATGATGTACAAGTGTCTCTGCAATAGGATGAGTACTTTGGGTATATGCCAAGTAGTGGTATAACTGCATCAAATTGTAGGTTCAGTTGTAGTTTTTTAAGAGTTCTCCACATTGTCTTCCTTCCATAGGGGTTGAAGAAGTTTGCAGCCCCACCAGCAGTGGATGAGTGTTCCCCTTTCCCCACATCTTCTCCAAATTTTGGTATCATTTTTCTTGATCTTAGTCAGTCTCACTGGGGTAAGATGAAATCTTAAAGTGGTTTTAATTTGCATTTCCCTAATTATTAATGATGTTGAACACCTTTTAACATGCTTCTTAGCCATCTTCATTTCTTCTTTTGAGAACTCTCTGTTCAGCTCCTTAGCCCATCTTTTAATTGGGTTACATTTCTTGATTCTTTGTTCTTTGAGTTCATTAATATATTCTGGATGTTAAAGCTTTGTCAGATGTGTTGCTGGTGAAGATTTTTCTCCCATTCTGTAGGTTTTCTCTTTACTTCCTTGGTTGCTTCTTTTGATGTACAGAAGCTTCTTAGTTTAATGAGGTCCCGTTTGTTGATTCTTTATCTTGTTTCCTGAGCAACTGATGTCCGGTTTAGAAAATGTTTTCCTACACCTATATCTTGTAGGTTATTTCATATGTTTTCCTCTAATAGTTTTAGGGATTCGAGCTTCACATTGAGGTCTTTGATCCATTTGGAGTTTACTTTTGTGCAAGGTGAAAGATAGGGGTTTAGTTTCATTCTTCTACAGCTTTTGTTTATCTTTTCAAAGAACCAGCTCTTGGATTCGTTTATTCTTTGTATTGTTTTGTTTCTATTTCATTAATTTCTGCTCTCTGATTTTTGTTATTTCTTCTTGCCTGCTTGGTTTGGTTTTCATCTATTGTTGCTTTTCAAGTGTCTTGAGTTGCATTGTTAAGTCATTTATTTGTGTTCTTTTTGATTTTTTAATGTAGGCAATTAGAGCTATAAACTTCTCTCTAAGGACTGCTTTTTGCTTGCCCCAGAGGTTTGTTGTGTTGTACTGTCCTTTTCATTTACTTCCAGGTGTACTTTTATTTCTTTCTTAATTTCTCCTTTTGCCCATTCATCATTCAGGAGTGTATTTAATCTCTATGTAATCATGTAGTTACTAGGGTTTCTTCTGGTGTTGATTTTAAGCTTTATCGCATTGTAGTCTGATAGAATGCATGGAATTATTTCAGTCTTTTTGTATTTGTTGAGGTTTGTTTTGTGCCCCAGTGTATGGCCGATTTTGGGGAAAGTTTAATGCGACACTGAATAGAAAGTATATTCTTTGGTGCTCTGGTGGAGTATTGGTTGATGTCTGTTAGGCCCATTTGATGTATGGAGTGACT